TTAAAGAGTTAACCTGAAATGCAGTTCTTCCAAGTTTGCAACTAATTCAATTATATTGATACCTCAATTTGGGGGGATATTTGTTACGAAGATACTAACAATAAACTGTAGTTTGTAATATACAAAGGATTCGTATATAATTTGAACATGGTTGGGTTCTATCGTAAATAAGATATACTTCAAAGGCGATTTTGCAACTAACACGGGCTTATATGTAATCTAAAAACGATAGTTGTTCGTTTTGTTTTTTTTTTTAATCTTTTCTAGAGTTAAGAGTTAACCTCAAATGCAGTTATTCAAAGTTCTGCTACTAATTCATGTATATTGTAAGAACATAGTTGGGTTCTATCGTAAATAAGCTATACTTCAGGGGTCATCTTGCAACTAACACAAAAAAGAACAAAACACGGTTATCTTTCAAAGAAATGCTCACCTTGACCCCATCGCTTCCAATCACGAAATCGAGATCGCCCGACACCAAAATGGACTCCAGAGTCTGTGATTCCATTTTTGCCCTTTCAATCTCTTCAAGCTCGGCAAATTTCTCGGGCGTGAAAGGGAAAGCTTTCAATCCGTGTTCCTCGATAGCATCTGCCACGTTCGGATGAACAGTTTTCCCATCTGGCCCAATCGCGACAACTGTCGGGAGCTCATCCAGCTCGAAATATCGGACGAGCTTCGAACGACATTTGTCATTCATGGGCAACGAAAGCCAAGGAAATTGTTTGAAAAGTTGCATGAAAGATTGCTCGTCATTATCGAGAGGTACCATCACAATCTCGAAATTCTCACCAATTTTTTTCAGGCCCTTGTAAGTTTCGATTAGCTTCTGGTTGAAAGATAGGCAACTTTTGTAACTGGACAATATGAAGTACAAGCCGATTGTTTTGCCTTCCAGCTCAGCAATTGGAACCTGTAAAAAAATGTGTAATAACTCAAAAACTTCATGATAGCACGTAAAATTCTCAAACTTAAAATGAAANAAAAAAAAAAAAAAAACACGAACCTTCTCCCCCTCAGCATTAATCACATAGTCTCTCGACCCGTATGCAAGTAATGAGTTAATCGACTGGTTCTTCCTAGCTTCAAATTCTTGTTCTTTGAGCTGCTGAATCTTTTCGGAGTTAAAAGGGTACCCTTCCGAACCGTATTCTTGAATTATACGTACGCCTTCCTCAGACAATAATTTCCCACTGTCATCAAGAAAAACGAGATGAGGTATCCCATCGACACTAAACGTCTCGTCCAGTTTTTCGCGTGTTTTTGAATCAGAAAACGGGACTGCAAGCCAGGGCATTTTAGAGAAATAAGAGTTAAAGGATTCTTCATCTTGGTCGGCAGATATGAAGATGACCTCAAATTTGTCAACTTGCTTGAGTTCATTGTAGGCCTCGACTAAATTTGGGGTGAACCCCTGGCATGGCCCGCACCATGATGCGGAGAAATACAGCCCAACTGTTTTCCCCTTCAAATTATCAATTTTGACCTAGAAGAGAAAAGGAAAAGAAAATCGAATTAACAGATGTTCTGCATGTTTTAGCTCCTTTGATGGGTTAAAAAGCCAACGAGTAAGTAATGACATTGAGTATTGCTTCGTTCGATTTTCGGAAATAGGATCAAATGTTTTAATCAACAAATGTAACCGCGAATTTCATTCTCTCTCAGCACCTTTATGAAGTTATCATCAAATGGTGGAATTTTTGGAATAAAAGAGAAAAGAGATTATTGTGTCCTAATTCGATGTAACTGATTTCGAACCTCGGTCTAGCTTACACTTTAGTATCATCAAACAACTAACGAGAACAACCAACCAAAAATTCGATCTTTTTACAATTATGTCAATTTGCTGTAATTGATTCTGAAGATCGGTAGCTTACAATTAACATCATGAAACAAAATAACCATGACAACCAAACAAAATTTCGAACTTTTTTACAATTATGTCAACTGGTGTATAGATTTCGAATCTCAATCTAGCTTACACCTAGCATCACCAATCAAAACAATTTTTACAATAATGTTAACTGCTGTAATCAATTCTGACTCGGCCTAGCTTACACTTTAGTATCATCAAACAATATAACGAGAAAACCCAAACAAAAATTCAATCTTTTTGCAATTATGTTAGCTGCTGAAATCCAATCTGAAGCTCGGTCTAGCTTAAACTTAGCGTCCTCAAACAAAATAGCAAGAACAGCCAAACAAAAATTCATTCTTTATACAATTATGTCAAAGCCCAGAAAAGTTTCAGCTGCAATGCCCCATCTAAAGAAGTAGAACAAATCAACAAATAACAATGGATAAACAAAGACCAAATTGTAAAACAAGAACGCATATTAACTGAACTTTCCATACAAATCCCACCAATGTAGCCTTTGAAATCAAGAACAAAAAACAATCTGACAAAATCTAATAACCCTACAAACCCTCTCACAAACCCTTATACACAGCTAATCGAAGAATAAAAGCAAACATACCACAAGCACAAATTTCTGACCACAGGACAACATAAAAAAATAAATAATAAATAATAATCAATATCACGAGAACAAATTGCAAAATACCTGGTCACCATTGTTGCGAATAAGGTAATCCCTGTCTGCTGAGCACAAGATAGAACTGAGATCGTATTTGGCTTCTTCATTAATCCCCTCGACGCTGCCATTAGATAGGCTCGCCATTATGCACAGCAGAGATCTTAATATAAACAAAAGATGAAGTAAAACAAATCTTGATTTAGGGAGTAAACGTGCAAGTGAAATTTTCAGAAAGGGCTATTTATATTAGAAACGGCCTTAAGAAATTGGGTTGATTTTTTTCTTGGGGAGCAATTAAGCTATGGAAGTCAAGGAAAGTGGCCGCCATATGTATCCTTTAGGAGCAGAATTAGTAAAAGATGTTTTGCTTAATGCTTAAATCTTGGGTATGGTGATTTCTGATTTTGAGCTGTGAAGACTGAAGTGTAAATTGGTATTATGCTGATAAATGTGGGACTTGGCAACTTTTCAAAAAAAAAATAAAAAAATAGCAAAGATAAATGCTTTTAAATTTCTCTGTCTTTCTATGTAAGATGATAGTAACATTTAAGTAAATGAATGGTAAAATTACCAAAAATTGCAGTAATAGTTTAGTCATGAGTGTTACTAGTATTCGGCCTGTGCATTTGTACAGATATAAATAAAGCACTGTAAGTTATTTGTATGCATATAATGATTACAGATTTTTCTTGCACTTTTTTGCCGGCTAAATTTACAATTAAAGGAGCTGAAATATTTATTTTTTTAAATTGCGTTTATCATATTGGATGTAATGTATATTTTAGTATGTATTTTTTTGTGAATTATTTATTATTTATTTAAAAATTTCAAATACGTTTTTTTATTTTTCAAAAGAAGTTAATTTAAATGTAACCACAACAATAACATCTAATCACGTTAAATAGTCAACATATTATATGGTTAAATGTAAGTAAATCAAAGTTAAAAATATTTTTGTAATTTTGAAGTGATTAGTGTGTTGATTATCTAATAATTAAATGAGAGGTTAATAAATTAAAAGTAACGATTTTTTGAGGGAAAAAATTATATTGCCACATAGGTATAATTTAATAGGTTTTATTAAATGCTCATGAGCCAGCAATTATATATATATAGATTTTATATAATAAAAACAATAATAATAATAATAATAATAATAATAATAATAATAAAACCTTAATAAGCGAATGAACAAAGTTTTTATAGAGAAATATTTAATGTTTAGTTTAAAATTGTATCAATTTGTCCACTTTAATGAAAATAATTTTTTCAATTATACATTGGAGCCATTGTCCAGGGTTTTTAATCGTAACCCAAATGGTATATTCCTTGCATGCCACCAAGGTATTTGAAATGATTTTGTTCTGTTTCTACTTTTTTTTCTCAACAATCAAGAAAGAAATTCATTAACTCAACTGAGAAGTATATAGGCTAACCAAATGGTTAAACAACACAAGTCCTCTTACAATGCAGAAATAAGGACAAGTTAGAGGAACCAAATAAGTATAATGTTCCTGCAAGGCCTTTCAGGCCAGAGTACACACAGCATCCACCGTTTGCTTGTCATAAGAGAAAGAGATAAAATCAAAATTGGACATTAAGTGTTGGATATCCTCGAGTACAATAGATCCTGTGAGATTTTCCCCTTTTAATTTAATATCACCACAATTAGTAACTCAACAGCAACTTCTAACTGCACCTGCATTTTTAAAAAGTATGAAGTGGCATAAAGAAGAATTATAAAGGTGGCTGTAAACTTTTTAACAAACCTATTCACATTCCAAGAGAAATGGGCTGTATGCATAGAAATGCAATTTTTGTTGTCTAAAGTTTATTCTTGATTTTCTTAAGCTAATTATAAATAAAGTACTTTTTAATTTTTGTTGTACATTTATGACTCAATAATTTATATATGTATATCTTTCTACCCTATCTTTGGATGTTATTTGTTCAAAAATGATTTTAATAAAAAATCTTATTTAAAACATCAGTTTTTTTCTTTTTTCTATTTAAAAAAATGTTTTTTGTGCATGAAAATATGTAAAACAACCTAATTTACATATTTCATAAATTCATACAATTACAAGGTAAACTGACTCGGTACAGTTTGACTTCAACATGATTCATACAAATGATCCCAGCAAACTATGTAAGTAATGATCAATTTAACTCTGATTCCATTCATTTGTTATACGTTTTAAACATTCATGTCAAATGGATGTATAATATGTACTTATGGATCATTGTAAGTATTCGTATGTAACAAAATATATTGAACTTATTCATTGTTTATTATAACAAGGGAATTAAAATATTGGATCACTAGGAAACTGAGGAATCAAAGAAATCAATGAAAGAAAGAATCACGATTATTTGGCTTCATGAATGTATAATCTTAAAGTGACTTATGTAATATATAACATCTTCATTATTTGGTAGTAACCCACTTCCAGAAGCTCTACCTCGAGTCATCTATAGTACAGTAGAGCAAAACCCTTCTTCTTCGTTCCGCTTTCTCACCCTCGGTATTTCCTGGTTGCTCGGGTTTCGGGTTTGGCATTGATGGAGGAGTTACATTTTTTGTATCAGGTCCTTTCGGTTCGTCTTTCCCTTTCGATGGTGGCGGAGAATGAGTCTCGGGCTTTTCGGGTTTTGTGTTTGGTCCATTTGGCTTGTTTTTCCCTTTCGATGGTGGGGGAGAATTCTTAGTCTTGGGATTTTCGGGTTTTGTGTTTGGAATTGATGGAGGAGTTGCGTGTTTTGTATCAGGAACTTTCGGCTCGTCTTTCGCTTTAGATGGTGGTGGAGAATGAGTCTTGGGGTTTACGGAGATTTGCTTTGATGGGGATGGAACAATTTCAGCATTGGTTTTGGGTTTCTCTTTTGCTGGATGTGGCGATTTAGCATCGGGTTTTGAGGGTTTTGGTTGTGTGGGTGCTGGTGCATGCTTGATATCATGCTCTCCAGGTTTTTGGTTGTCTATTTTAGGTTTCTCGAGTTTTTCGTTTGTCGGTGCAGGGGTATGTTTATTTTCACCTTTTTCAGGATTCTTTTCGGATGATTGTGGCGATTTGGCTGAGGGTTTTGGTTGTGTGGGTGCTGGTGCATGCTTGATATCGTGTGCTATGGGTTTTTGGTTGTCAATCTTAGTTTGCTCGGGTTTTCCCGTTGTCGGTACAGGGGCATATTTGTTTTCGCCTTTTTCAGGTTTTTCTTTCTCTGATTGTGGCGATTTAGCATCAGATTTTGAGGGTTTTGGTTGTGTGGGTGCGGGTGCATGCTTTATATCATGTGTTCCGGGTTTTTGGTTGTCTATTCTAGGTGTGTCAGTTTTTCCTTTTGTCGGCACAGGGGCATGTTTATTTTCGCCTTTTCCACGATTCTTTTGGGCTAATTGTGGCGATTTGGCATCAAATTTTGAGGGTTTTGGTTGTGTGGGTGCTGGTGCATGTTTGATATCATGTGCTCCGGGTTTTTGGTTGTCTACTCTAGGTTTCTCGGGTTTTCCCTTTGTCGGCACAGGGGCGTGTTTGTTTTCGCCTTTTCCAGGATTCTTTTCGGCTGATTGTGGCGATTTGGCATCGGATTTTGAGGGTTTTGGTTGTGTGGGTGCTGGTGCATGCTTGATATCATGTGCTCCGGGTTTTTGGTTGTCTGTTTTAGGTTTCTCGGGTTTTCTGTTTGTGGGCACAGTGGCATGTTTGTTTTCGCCATTTTCAGGTTTCTTCTTTGCTGGCATCGGAGCATTCGCTTTTCCCGGTCCCTTAGTTTCCGAATCCCCTTTGTTGGGTTGCTCGGGTTTATGTCTGGGTGTCGGTTTTGCTTTCGTAGGCGCCGGCGCTAATTTACCGTTCGGTTTCTCATCGTCAGTACCGTTTTGTTTCTCGTACACCGGTCTTTCTGCATCTGGCGAGTAATCCCATTCTCCCGAGTCGTCAACCTTCGGTTTTTCATTGGATTCGGGTGGAGAATCTTCGTCGTTTTCGCAAAATCGATCCTTGTCGTGCTCGAGATCGTAATTCTCCCACCTCTCGTGATCGACGAGCCTAATCTGCATCCCACCATCGTCTAGGATTCTCCACTTGCATTCGCGCTTGCACTTCTTCTTGGGAAACGCGTGGAAATATCCCGCGTCCGAGTAGGTCAAATCGTCGAGATAAACGTGGCAAATCATTTTGACCGCGTCTTTCTTGGAAAGCTCCCACCGAACCTCATCGCCCGGTTTCAGAACCTCGTTTAGATTCTTGTCGCCGTACGAGCAGTCGACTGTCGAGCCGCGTTTCGCCGTGTTGGTGATGGAGACATATTTCTTCTTCTCCTGTGTTGTTTTTGCAGCTGATGATAAGTTTGTGGTGGCTGAAAATAGGGCAATGAGGGTAAAGAAGAGAAGAGGTTTCATATTTTTGGTGGTGAGGAAGAATTGGTCTCAAACAATGTTGTGTTTTGTAGGATGAAAAAAGGGGTAGCAAAGATGTAACTGTGGGTAATTAAAACATTAACTTATGTGTTAGTGAAACAATTAATGTAAGTATTAATTAGTCAAGTGGGAACGCTAGAATTATTTTTCAGTTTCATTTAATGAACAATGCAAGATGGGGCCAAAATTGGTTTTTGTGTTTTTGGGATTTTAAGACATCAAAGTTGTACTAGTGAATGAAAACTTATTAATTGGTGACTATTAATGAAAAATTAGCAGACTACTAACAAAGATTGAATAATCAACATATATATACAGTTATACACATACTCACACGAATGTGTGTTGATTCAATGATGAAAAAACCCAATTAGAGCGAATGTGTGTTGATTCAATGATGAAAAACCCCAATTAAAGTTGTGTGTAGGATGAAATTTATCATATTTGGCATGTTGAGACAAGTTTGACTACAAATCAATTACTCTAAAAAATATTTTGGACAACTTACAGTAAGTAGTAACAGAAGCTATGTAACAGAAGCTAGCTCGTATATACAAACATTTTTTTTTTTGCTTAAGATTAAATATTTATAGGTTAGATTATTCTTTGATATATATGAATGTCGTTGTTGGTTGTATTGCACTCAAGTTTTCATGCTTTTCTTACTAAAAATGCATAATCATATTATAAAATGTCAGAATCATATTATAAAATGTCAGGTAGAGTAAAACCGGATCTAATTATCCATGTTATACTTTCAATGTAGAGTTGTATTAAGAAAATTTGTGAGAGCTAAGTTGAGATGAAATGTATACTTATATGTATTTTTGTTAAAATACTATAATTCATCTACTAACATCTATCTCTCATAATAATTTATGAATGTCACAAAATTCTCAGAAGCACTTCATAGAAAACACTGAAATAAACATAAGAAAATTACAAGATTATTGATATGCATCTGTTTCTTTCTGATACAAACAGGGAAATATAAAATGATGAAATTAGTATAAGCTACTTAAAATCATCACTCAACAAACAACTTTATTCATTTTATTTTATTTTTTATTTTTTGGTTCCATCAACTATTAAGAACTCCACACATAAATTTGAAATCATGGAAGCTTTGGAAATCTGGAGAAATCGGGTTTTCTACGCTGCAAGTACGCATTCTTCCCCTCCGTACCTTCCTCTGTTCCGTAAAAAAGAAGCGTAGCATCTCCCCCGATTTGCTAAAAAAATAGCATAGGAAAAATAAAAAATTAAGTCTTTATGAGAAATTTAAGTTGTAAAAATGTATCGAAAATCATATGACTATAATTGGTAAAACTAGCTGATAATTCAGTTTATAACTTATAAGTGATTTTTGAGATTATAGCCTAGAGCATATGACTTATAGTTGAAAACCTAGCTTATATGATAAAAGTGCTTCGTAAAATTAGCTGATAAGCTAGCTGAAATAAAAATTTCAACGAGCTTATTTGAAAAGCTAGCTAAAGAAGCATATGAGATAAAGTCGAGCTTTTTAAAAATATTCGTATCCTAGCAAACGAAACTTATTTGAATACAAGAAGCTTATAAACTAACCAAATAAGCTAGCTTATAAACAAACCTTGTTTTGGTACAAAATCAAAAGACAACAATCGACAGTTTTGGAGTTACCTGAAGTCCGGCATGGCCATCATCGACTGCATTAATGGCCGATTTGCAAAGACGAATAGCCATTGGGCTGTTCCTCAGAATCTCTCTACACCATTTGATTGTTTCCTCTTCAAGCTTCTCGAGCTATATACAAAAGGGTCGATTCATACATTTGGGGAATAATTTCGAAAAAGAAATTGGATTATTAACATAAGTTTAGAAGTAAAGGAAGAAGCTAACTGTTCTATATAATTCGTCTTGGCAAAAATGTAACGCCTAACGATTATATTATTTTTGCATTTGAAATGTAAAAGTGAATTTCGATATATATAGCAATGTTCTTACAGGAACAACGGTATTGACGAGTCCCATTTTCTCTGCTTCCGCAGCATTGTAAAACCTCGTCATATACCACATTTCGCGTGCGCGCTTCGGCCCAACCTAAATCAACCAATAAAAAGAAAAAATAATTGAAAAGCTAATGTATAGAAAATACAATAAAAAAAAAATCGAAAAAAATCACTCGAGCATCAAATCGTACCAAACGAGACATTATGGAAGCTCCATAACCAGCATCAAAGCTTCCAACCTACAATTTCCACAAAAAAAGTTGCATGATTTTCTGGACTAAATTGATTTTTTTTAACATACATTTTTCTAGTTTTCCAACTGAAATTATATAAAAACTTACCTTAGGCCCTGTTTGGCCAAACACTGCATTATCAGCTGCAATTGTTAAGTCACAAACCATGTGAAGCACATGTCCACCCCCAACTGCATACCCAGCAACCTGATTTTTTTATTTTTTATTTTTTGTTCATTTTTTATTTTGTTAAATTAATTTTCTATTGTGTGGAATAATTCTATAAATTAAATATTATTACGATGGAGATAATATTTAAAATGATAATTAGAGATTACCATAGCTATCACTGGCTTAGGTAGGCGTCGAATTTGCACCTGCATTGAGAAATAAATCATTTGGATCCTCATAAATCATAATATATAAATATATTAATTGGGGCTATTCAATAAATGTATACTGTTAATTTAATTAATTTTTATAATAATTTAGTGTAAAATTCATTTTAAATCTATATTTACTTGTACACATTGTGTTTATGTTATGCATTTCATGTCTGTGTACGGTTCCAGATTAGTAGTAAAGTAATGAATTTGAGATTTTTTTTTACTATTTTAAAATACTAATAATTAATTTGTATCGATTGTAATTTTTGGAATTAACATATAAGTTACCTGGAGATCTAAAACATTGAGGCGTCCAAAATTATCATAATCTACGTAGCCTTCTTTGCCTCTGAGTGACTGATCGCCTCCACTGCAAAAGGCTTGCGTGCCCTGAAGTAACAATGGCAAAATAAATTAAAAATAAAAAATGTGTGAGGGGGTAATGTGTTATGTGGATATTTATAGATATTGAGATTTTAATAATATTGGTATATTTAATTTTAAATTATGAAACTTTTAAAAGAAAGTATTCATTTTGAGATATTAAAAATCCATTCGTACTACATATCTTCTATTAATATTTATTATGCACCGACACACATATTTATAACTGTCAATTATTTATAATAATTATTTTATTTATTTTCATGTTACAACTTACATCAATTTTAACCTTACATTTCATCTCATTTTTATTCTCAATCGCCCCGGAATTTAGGTGAAAAAGTGGATTATTATTTTATTATAGGATATAAGACAAATATAAGAATTTATTACAAAAATAATGCAACTCCCATCAATAAGGAAGTATATTATCTTGGAATAAAATATTACTCCTAAATTTGAATTAGGAACGTCTAGAAAACAGATGGCTCGTTGCTATCAGTGTGTTTGGTTTACTAATTAATTGAATCCACAAGTTGACTTCAAATTATTAGAGGATTATTATAATAGCATATCTTATGAATTTCCACAAATTCTTGTTTTGAGTAATCTAACATTAGATGAATCAATCCATCATAATAATTTTGATAAAAACACATATTTATGTTATGAAATTGCATGTTTTTTAAAGTCGTTACTTAAAGTATGATGACGTTTCAATTCGATAATAGTACAGAGCCCGTGCGATGTACGGGGTGCACAATTTTAAGGCTATTTATCCAGACTTATAAATATATACATGAATAAAGAAAAATGTACGGGATATATATAGAACGTGACCCGTGCGAAGCACGAAATATATTTATTTGGAGAATATTATATTATAAGATGCAAGAAAATTGTACAATATTCAATAAAAGTTTATAATATGCAAGAAAATTGTACAATGTTCAATAAAAGTTTTATAATATTCAAGTGGAGTGTTAAAGTCTCTTGTACATTAAGACTACTGACAAAATAATATTTTAATCAATGAGTTTCCTTTCCTTGTAGCCAAATTGTGAATGTGATTTGAGGAGTACAACAAATCGATATATAGCTGACTTGCTTTTTTCATTGTAGTTTTTTTTCTTTTTCTTTTTATAATGAATTTAAAAATATTCTAAAATATAATAAAAATTAATTTTTTTATTACAATTAGGAATTTTACTAAAAATAAACTCTCAATCTATGGTATTAATTAATGTTTAAGTCTAAAAAACAATAGAGTTATTATAAGTTTTTTTTCTACATCTTTTAAAACATTAAATATGAGCATGTTAGGGCTAGCTTGTAAAATAATTAATATATTATCTCACTAAAATATTTATATTAATAAAAAAATAATTTTAGCAGAAAAATTTATCCCTTGATATAAGAGAAAGTAATAGTTTTACTTATTGTTGTTCACCATATAATATTTAATTATTATTTTATTATATAATAAAAAAGAAATATTGTTAAATAGTGTAGTAGAATTGTTATAAAATTATATGTTTTTTTTTTTACAATATGGATTAATATTTTTTTATGATTTGATAATATAAACAAATCTATACTTAACTTTGACAAATAAAACAAATAAATACTTTAGTAAGTATTTAATGTATATACTAAATAGGAATATATTTAGTATAATCAAATATCAAATATAATCAAATAAGTCAAAGTGTACATTTTTATTTGGTATTTGATTTTTGTATTATTAAAATCTTTTTATTATACTTATCTTTTTAAAATAAAACAAATAAATAAATCAATTAAATAAATAAAATATTATAATACCAAAATAGTAATGGCATTTAATGCAGTTGACTTTTCTGGATAGTAAATGTAATAAATAGAATCTCCTTTTATATAAGTATAAATTGTATAATACGGAAATAGTAATGCAATAAATGTTGTTGACTTTTCTTTATACTAAATCTGGTAAATGGTATACCTTTTAATATAAGTATAGATTATATATCTATTGAACATGTCTCTAGTCATTAGGTTTTTTTGCTCAAAGATTAAAATCAAAAAGTAAACTAGTCATCAATGGAAGATTTAGTACTAATAAACAACGGAGTTCGACAGTTGATTTGAGCTCAAATAAACACATATGTCCAAATGATTCAATAAACTTTCTTAAAAAAATTATGCACATTAAATTAGTTTTACATTAATTTTTATTGTATTTTTTTTCTTCTTTTCTATGTCCGTTATATCTTGTTTGGCCCGTCCCTACTTGTTCACATCAATTGGACACCATAAATTTCAAGAAATGTATATATTAATTTTTATGTTACCAATATAAGCTCTTTTGGAACTTTTAAAAAAATATGCATATCTATGTTACAAAACACCATATTTTTATTTTTATTATTTTTAAAACTATATCACTCATGCATAGAAGTATGTATATTTTATTAAAAGAAATTAAAATTGACTAACATCCCGAATATCAGCCTTAACCTAAAACTTAAAAATACTCATAAAAACAAATAAATAAAAATAAAAAACAATAAAAATTAAAAAATTAACTATTATCAACTACCAATTACCAAACAACATTGTACAATTTCAAAATATAAACCCCAAATTCATATTTAGGAAAAAAAAAAAAATACAGTTACCTTTCCAGTGAAAATAATAACCCCAATAGAGTTATCATCTCTCGCGTCGTTAAACGCGCGCATTAGCTCTTTCACCGTTTGTGGCCGAAAAGCATTTCTCCTCTCTGGCCTATTAATCGTTATCTATACCAAAAAACTAAATAAGAAAATAAAAATTACAGTCTCAAATTTTCTCTTAAAAAAATACTAACGAGAACTTACCTTAGCGATGCCTTCCCCGACGGCTTTCTCGTAAATAATGTCGGTAAATTCCTTGCCCGACTCATCCAAAGCGGGTTTCCAAATCGGGTCGTGGGTCGGGACGTCCCCGTGGACCCGATGGTACGTGTCGTTGAATCCGGAGCTGCAGCCCAACCCGGATATGAGGGCGTTATTCGGGCCCGGGCCTTGAGGCCCGATTAAATGTCTGGCGATGGAGGCCATTCTGCGGTTAACTACCTCGGCGTCTTTTCCGTTCATCTCGCCGGAGTAATCTAATCGAAAGGTTGAAGTTAATTAGAATTGAAATTTAGTGCACAAATGGGAATAATTGAAGGTTGTATTTATAGGGGCTATTTTAACTAGAGCTGTACTTGAAGTTGATGGTTTGAAGATTTTGACACAGAGATAAGGAATTAGATAAGCTTAGTAAAATATTTTGTTGGGTGGAATGACCATTCGGCCCTTGTGTTGACATTTTGGGTATTAGATTCATTCCAAAATAAATTTGTTGTACAAAGTTAACCTAACCTAGTCTGAGTTATTTGTATAACAATTCATTCAAGTTTTGTGATTTATCTAGCGCATGCTAAAAAATATTAAATACCACTTTTTTTTTTTTTTANGTTCCAGCCTTCCAGGTGAAGGGCACCTCATTATCGGCCCGGGTTTTGAAACAAAAGGAGAGGTTTTTTTTTTTCAAACATCAAATATATATATTAAACTAACTCAAAGAGGTACATTGTTCGATTAACCAACGGGTTAATTACAAAGGAAGGAAAAGGGGAGGTGCATCACATATTGACCTTAAAAACATACAGTGCGTGGGAACTTTGTAGGTCTTTATATATAGTGGAAGAAAACTCTGAACGAAGTTGTGAGTCAACGTGATAACAGTCGTGAAAACTTTGTATGGAGATTTGCATTTGGGTACAGTTTCTTATATTTAATACTATTATATTATTATGTTAATTATTAAATGGATGCAACTTGATTTTCTTTGCACAATCTTCTTCACTAATTAATTGGTGCCTATTTGAAATAAAAAAATAAAAAATAACATTGGTGCCAGTCATTGATACTTTTCTTTTATTATTATTATTGATCATGGAAACGGCTGGCTATTTATTTATCTTAAATTAATTATTCTTTGTGGTATTGAAAGGGCTTAGAAAACATTAATTGGACCGACCTGCAAGTATTTTCATGGTGATAGTCATGTCTCAGCATAAGTGGGCTTATACTAGGTTTGGGCTTCAATCAACGATAAAATCAGTCAACTCGCCTATAAATTTCTTTTTTAATTTTACATTTACAAAACTTATTTTAAATTACATATATACTATCTTTCACTATTTAGAAAAGGTCTTTTTATGATTTATTCTATCATTGATTTTTAAATTATATTAATTTTTTATTTGTAACTCGTTTATGTATGGTTATTTATCACTTTATTATGAATAATCTATTTTTATAAAATTTTAAAAAATTTAGTAGAAATGTAAAAGAGCCCGTATCAATCCTATACAATTTCTGAATTTGAGCTTTAAAAACAAAAAAATTACCAAAACACTAAGAAATTTGTTGTATATGGAAATTACCAAATAACCCATCCTTGAAGCACTATGAACAAAGTAATGGAGCAATTTATGACATTAAACAAATGTTACAAAACATTTGTTACTAATATTCACTAGCTAGCAGAAGTACCAAAAATAAGGCCACCCAATCCAAGCCCACTACACATACCAAAAATCAAAAGTTTTGTACATACAAAGAAATAATATCAATTCACATATCAACCACACCTAGCAATAATCTCTATCCCCTTGAATCTTGTTGCTCGATGGCTTCCCGGCCATCAAGCACTCGACCGGTGGCACCGCGGGCGAGTACAACTGCCCGAACGCCCGCCAGCAAAACGGGTCGTATAGATGATACCTTTCTTGTTGCGGCTTCAGTTGTATGCCAGTCAGCGTCACGTCCGTGCACGGTGTGTGGTCGCTGCAAGCAAAGTGCACAGGCTTGACCGTGTAGGTCCCGCGTATGTCGACATAGTTGATTCCCGACAGAGCCACAGCCGACGTTTGGTTCTTGCACGCGGTCTTGTCGCAGTAATACTGGTCGATGACTATAGGGAGTTGGACTTCGGAGACTTGGATGTTCGAGAATTGGACACCCTGGACCGACCCAGACCCTCCCTGCAAATAGATTATGACTCAATTGGGTTACAATTGAAGCACTCGACTCTACAGATGACTGCAGTGCAGTTATCGAGTTTTTCATCGTTGAATCAACACACAAACGTGCAAATAGACAAGACTCGATTGGTTAGAATTGGAGCATTCAACCCTACAGATGATGGAAGTGCAATTACCGAGTTTTTCGCCGTTAAATCAACACACAAAGTGCAAATCGATTATGACTCAATTGGGTTAGAATTGGAACATCCAACTACAGTGCATTTATCAAGTTTTCACCGTTGAATCAACACATACGTCCAAATAATTTATGATTGAATTGGGTTAGAATTAGAGTATTCAACCATACAGATGACTACAGTACAATTATATATCGGATTTTCAACAATGATCAGTACACAAACGTGCAAAATTGATTATCACTCAATTAGGTTGGAATTTGAGCATTCAACCATACAGATGACTGCAGTTCAATTATCGAATTTTTCACCATTAAATCAACACACACATGCAAATAGATTTTAACTCAATTGAGTTAGAATTTGGAGCATTCGATCTTTATAGGTGACTACAATTCAGTTATTGAGTTTTTCACCTTTTAATTAATACATACGCATATACACAAAAAATGTGTAAATCCAACTGTGAAAAGTGAAAACATCCAAGGACAAATTAAAAGTTAGTGCTATTTGCTATGGATTTTATTTTATTATTATTATAATTATTATTATTTTTTGTTTTTTAGGTACCTGCCATGTTTTTATTCGGACCCCATTCATGGTATTGTGCATGATAATGTCACGGACGGTAATGTTAGAAACGCAGGCTTTGGTGTTGTCTTTTCCAAGTCCACCTATGCTGATGCCGTGGCCGGGCCCACAGTTGACATTGTGTATGTATACATTTGTGCACCCTGTTTGTATCGATACACAGTCGTCCCCTGCAATTTAGCAAAAATTTTGTCCTCAGACGAAATTATTGAAATTTATGATCTTTAATTTTTGTTGAAATTGGAAATTTTCAAGTCTTATGGTTAATAAGAGAAAATTTTGTCCTCTAAATTCATGCCCTGCATTTTTGAATGCTTATTGTGTTCTCCTAAAAAAATCAAATTTAGCTATTGTGTTCTCAAACATTATTATTATTAATAATAATAAGTGTAATTAGTTAAACTCACCACAAGCAATATTAGAGCTGCGAATGAGCACATCTTTTGAGTTTTGGAGGTGAATCCCGTCAGTGTTAGGGCTGTCGCCGGGCGACGACACGTTGAAATCAAATACCGAGACTCCAATGCAATTATCGAACTTTAGGTGGCATTGTGGGCTATTTTGAATTCTTATTCCTGTCACCGTCACATTGAAACTCCCATAAAATCTAAGGGCCTGTTTGAAAATAAAAAGAAAAAGAAAGAAAAATTGATCATTTGTATTCTTTCGAAAGCACAAAAATATGCACAATAATAATATTAATAATTGAATAATGAAAAATACATTTCCAAAATTTTAAAGACAAAATAATAATTGTATTTTAGCTTGTTAAGTTGTGTAATGTTTAGGTTGTCATCCTCTTTCTTGAAATGTTGTAGATTAAATTATAATATAAATAAAATTTATTTGTGATAAAGAAATAGTTTAGAATTATTGAATTTGAAAGTGGTACTTACAGTTGGTTTTATGCTTGGCATTTTAGCACCAAGTGAGCTTCTTACCTGCCACGTGGAATTATAAATTTATAATTACGACCAGAATAATAATCATAATAAATTAAAAAAAAAAAACTTTATTGATTGGTGGACAATGCAATTAGTTATATTTGAGGGGGATGAAAGGTAAATAATTACTGGAACTGGGGGCTTTTGGCTAAATGTCCCATTTGACGGGAAGATGATTTTTGATTGGTCGTCCAAGGGATCATCGTAATACGGAGAATTATTCCACCAAACGTCGCCGTTTCCATCTATGGTCCCACTTCCCCTTATTGTAAGCCCAACTAATTTTGTGAACTCAATCCACTGTAAAAGGCCCGACTCCCAATGGGCCGAGCCCGTTGGAGCAACTATTGTGCCGTCCAGCTGCACGAGATTTTAAAATAGCAAATGGGCTTCAAATTTCTATTAATTAATTATTTAGTTTTACAAATTGAATTCAAGAAAAAAAATTAAGGGAAATATTTAATCATTATTATTTTTTTTTTGTTTGTTTTTTTTTTTGTTTTTTTTGTAATTNNNNTTTTTTTGTAATTTACCTGGAAAACAATGTTGTGTTGACAATATGGGCCGGAAAATGAAATGGGCCCAACAAGGAACACATATTCCCCTGGGACAATAATGGATGAGGCCTCAACCTTGCAAGCAGCAGCCCAAGCAGCTTGGAATGCCTGCATTTTTCTCACCATTATTTACATTTTCATATTTTAAAACTGAGTTCCTAATATGTAAAAAAATTAAGTTTAAAAAAATTAATGAATAATAATAATAATAATTAAAAAAAAAGGCTGTAAGGATTTCTGGTTGGTCAAACATTGGATTTGTGAACTTTGGAGTATTGCAGTTTAGCTTGTTACAGTTGTTTGTTTGTGAGGAACAGAATTTTGGAATTGATATATTAAAGGTGGAATTTTTTTGGACCACTATTATTCTCTTTTCCATCTCTTGGGCAGTTATGTTGGCCCTACTTATTTATTATTCATTTCACAATGTTGCTAGGGAGTAGGGACACTTTGCCTTTTCAGTTTAGTGATTTTTATATTTAAATATATTTTTAAAATATTATAAATTCAGTACAAGAAAGTAATCATATTCCAACACAATAAATGCAAGAGAGTTCTGCCAATAATTACAACTAATATTCCAATGTTATAGTTTATGTTTGAAAATTCCAATCGAAATCACGTATTCAAACTAAAATTCTTACAGTAATAAACCGTTGGAAAAAAATAATTATTGGGATCATCATCAAATTCCTACAGAAATTCAATTCCAATGGAATATATTAGTATCGCTCTCTGAAATTTCAACTAAATTTATATAATCGCTGAAATTTTTATTGAAATATGTTTCCGTTATATATTTTTTTTGATATAGTGATTAAGATAGAGAAATTTAAATGCTAATGTTTTTGAACGAGTATTTTGTAGTTTTGGAATACAATTGAGTTTTCATGTTTCAAGGCAAGTAAAAAAATCACTATTTTGTATTTGTTATTTAATATTTAACATAAAAATTATCGTATGTGCTGGTTTAACTTAACCTAAAAAATTATTGTATGATTACCATCTAATTTCCATTTGCATGGGCTTAAAGACAGGGCACATAATAATAACTGTAGTAGTAAATGCTTACCAACCATTCTTAATTTGACAATGCAAAATAGAACAATTTGACTCTGCTTGTCCTTATCGGGG